CTATTTGGTAACTTTGGTTTGGTAATTTGGTTGGTTGGTAAATTTTAAGTTTTAATTGGATATGGATTATAGAACAACTTATGGTTATGCTTATCGAATGTCTACTTATGTGTAGTACTAGTATACTTTAAATTCTGATGTGCACTAAATACCTAGTTCTTATATTTTATACAATAGATAATTGTCTGTATAGATACTTTTTTTTATTCAACTAGGCCACCCAGGTTCTACCTAGGCGCTTGGCGGCCTGGAGCCCCCAAGCAGCCTCGGACCCACCTAACGCTTTTTGAAACACTGACCGGGAGATTGTGGCACAATAATTTTTTTTTTCCTGAAAGTTTGTGACATCAAGAATTTGACCTCTGTAAATGCAAGAGAGACATTAGCCATGCCATTTTGTCCCCATGTAAGGGCAAAAAAAGATATTTATTCGAATGGTGGAATAAATGCAAGTGATACATTTCTATATTTGAGAATCAATGTCATGCATACTTCTTCATCTAGTGGTCCTGAAGTCATGACAAAGCTATAGAAAACATAGGAGGAAAAGATCTCAAAAAGTTAGGTTTCCCTCCAAGTTCGCATGTGATATTGATATTTGATAGCAGCTATAGAGGCAATTTGTTGGGGTTTGTGGCCTTTAAAGCCCTAGAGAGCTTGTAAAGAAAAGTATTTTATAATGATTTGTGCGCTTCAATGGGAGCTTTCTATGACTGACTGCCCTAGGGTTGGGCGGTCTATGGCCGGGTCATGTCAAAAACCCTTACCCTTGGGCTTGTGGAACTAACGTTGAGGATTTAATATGGTCATTCCTAGTTGTGTAGTCTCCTGTGTACGGAGGAAGGGCCAGTGAAAGCAAGTGCCAAATCCTCAATGACACTTTTGCAAGGAAAGTACGTCGCATTTTAGGAAGCAATCGTATATATAGGGGCATGTGTACATGTGCATAGAAAGAGCACCCTTTTGCACTGTATGCATTTGACTTACTATTAAGGGGGATCCTGTAATCCACATACCAAGACTATGGTTCTTTGGCTAACTTTGACGTGCCAATCATGAGCCCCTGCACTTGACAGTGGGTCATGGCTCTCATTGGGTTAGTTTGAGAAGACAGATGTGGATCATGGATCCTAGCACGAGTGGACTGCCTGATATACAGTTGGTTTTGACCCATCAGGTTCCTATCTACTTCTTAAGTTGTAGTGTTGTGTGTTTTGGATCCTTGTGGAACTCCATAAATATTGTTTTCAACTAAGAATGTGTTACTGAGAATTTTTGATAGTTTTTTAGAATTTTAAAACAATTTTTAAATGTGTAAATTAAAAGAGTATTCAATAATTTTTAAATAACAAGGGTATTTTAAGAAGGGAAAAGTTTATATAGAGCCGAGGCTCTAACCAATCAAATTTGAGCCTACCTCAAAATTTTCATTAGAAGAGGTTGTTTTGATACCCAAATATCTTCAAATTGATTATCTCGACATCAAGATGTATGGACATGAGAAAAAAATGGATTGCAAGTTTTGAAAATAGTGTATTTTGTAATGCATTTTTGGACCATCAATTTTCAAGATATCACAGATATCGATCTACACTATTTTTGGAGCTTTGAACTTCATAAATAGATATGAAAATATATTTTAAAGCTATCACAAAGATTTTCAATATTGAAACCACATTGTTTAACGCTATTTGGAGGTAGGCTCTAATTTGAATGTTTAAAGCCTAGGCTCTATACAACCGCACCCTTTTAAGAATTACAATTTTTTATTGGTGGGACGCATGTGTGGGGGGCTGAGGGCCCAAGTCTCATATGTGGGGCCCACTAGGCCCACGCATCCCATTAACTTGACACATTTTTTTAAAACTATTTTCTTAGTAAAAATATTACGATTCAAAATATTTCTTTAAGGAATATTTCGTGAAAGATTTAAGGGGATAAGGTTCCTAAAGATTCACTCTAAATCATGATGGTTGATCATGGAGAAGTGGCTTAGATTAAATCTTCTCTCTCACCTCATAAATCACCTAATAATCCTAGATAATGTTGAACTCCTAATCTGACTAGGACTCCCTAGGCTCTAAAGGCCTACAAATAGCGATCTCCCCTCCATTCTATACATCAGACATCTCCCTTCTCTCCACACCATTCTCTCTCTCTCTCTC